TACCCAACTTTTATGGAGTCTGTTTGGTGGGCCTTCAAACAACTGTTCGAGAAAGGTTTAGTGTACAGAGGCGTGAAGGTTATGCCCTTTTCCACAGCCTGCGCCACACCCTTGTCAAATTTTGAGGCTGGCCAGAACTACAAGGATACCCAAGATCCGGCTATTGTTGTCACATTTCCCCTGGATAACGACCCATCAACGGAGCTGCTGGCGTGGACGACTACGCCTTGGACTTTGCCTAGCAATCTGGCCCTCTGTGTCCATCCGGATAAGGACTACGTCCGCTTGTTAGGTAAGCTCAGATTAAATAGTGTACAATGACATGTTCCTAACGAAACTCGACTAGGTATATATTTTTTAACGTTATGAAACTACGTTAGAACAACACGCGACATACTTATCTGTCTATATAAATGCCATTTAGTTTACTGTTTCTTCCCCATTCCAAGTGTCATTCTTCACCGCTTCTTTGTGGAGTTCTATAAATTTAGGCTGCAAATACCGTATTTTTTGCGCTATTTGACGACTCGACTAGTTACGTTTCCGAAAGTCGTATTTCAAGTTTTTTTGATAGACTCCATTTTCAACCGTTCTACGAAGTATGTAAAATAGCGCGAAAATTTTCCAAAGGAGAAACAGCTATTGACATACGCCTATAACTGGAGGTTGACTCTGTATCGGTTTTTGACAAATAAGGGATCGGGTCATCCAACAGAACAACTACGAAAATAATCATATATGGAGTGCTTCATGTGAATACTTATCCAGAAAGGTTGCTCACAGAAATTTTATGCTTTTAAAAAAATAGAGAAGCCTACGTAGCAATTTTCTGTTTAAAATGCATGTACCCTACTGAATCTGAATTTTTAGTGGGCTTTTTAGGCCTAGGTTAGAAGTATTTATTTTGTGGCCAGGCCAAAAGAATAGGACTCTTTCTCCCCAGAACACCGCTATTGCACACACCCTTCCAGAGAATAAATAACCTTGCTCAAAATAAGGGTGATAACCAGCTTTATCCTCACGCTTTAGATAAAATTCTACATCGCATGAAGACTATAGGTGCATTCCAAGAAATCGAATTATTCGAGCGTCAGGAAGCCATATCGAAATACCGTAGGTAACTTCGCTTGACGGTTTACGAAGAGCATACTTCTGTGGTTGTGAAAGTACAGGTAATTCGGATGCTTCATCTTCAGACCAACCGCCTAATTTACGGAAGAGGGGTTGTTTATATACACTTTCGTCAAGCCGTTCAAAGGAAGTTGTAAACAAGGCGCGATCCTACTTTGCTGGTATCAAGATTCAGTACGCCTGTCCGTGCAGCTATCTACAATTTTAACCCTTGCTTACTTGTGTACTAAAGTGATAGATTACACAGACGGTTTGTTAATCTTTCTATACCACCTCCCTCACAGATAAACATCTTAATCGTCATTTCATCATGATGGAGTGTCGTATCGCCTCGCTCTACAAG